GAAGAAAGAGAAAGAGAAGAGAATATACATAGCTCAGGGTTGAACTGTGGAGTCCGTGGGGTTCTCTGAGCTTGGTTGCTTTCTTGCAAACATTTTGTTACCCGGCTAGGTAACATTTTCAGTGCTAGCACTGAAGATGTTACCTAGCCGGGTAACAAAACGTTTGCAAGAAACCAAGTTCAGACAACCCCAAGGACTCCAAAGAGAAAGAGAAAGTGGGACAGTAAATTAGGAGCATTTTAGGGGGCTTAGGAATGGAGCAGGGAACAAACGTACCACATTTGCCTTCTCTCAAATCAGTGTTTTTTGGCTAGCTAACCGCCCCCCCCCCACGCCCAGCAGCCATTTTGTGTGAATGCCCATAATAGTTTCAAAAGTCCAGATGCCTAGCAGCTGCAAACAATCAAGGACCCCCTGCTTGTTGGGAATGGGGAGAATTCCCCCAGTGAGAAGTAGGCCTTAACAAATGCAGATTTAGCTACCTGTTTACAATGGTTTACATGTAGCCTCCATCCACTATTAGTCATCCTATCAAGCCAAGAGTGGTAGGAATAAAATAAACAAATGTACACTCTTTCTTTGTCACAAGATAGCATGGGCAGTAGCATGTTTGTTAAGGATATTTCTTTAAGATTTTTTGGTTTTAATAGATAGATGATAGTGGAGTCTGGAAGATTCAGTGCTCCAATTAAACAACCTATGCTTTGGCTATTCTTACTATTCAGAGTAGTGAAAGTACTGAATTCTGCATCCGTATCTTCCCCCAATTCTTCATCACTTTCCATGCTGCTACAGCTCTCACCTCACTGTGTACTCTCACCAACTCTTGTGTCTATTTGAATCAGGAAAAATTTCATTTGAATGTCAGATGATTTGGAAAAGCCAGTTTGATTTGATCTGGACATTCAGATCAAGATGTCATATCAGGTCAGTTTCATTTGAATTTCCAAAGTGATAGGGGGAGAGGGAAGATGTTTCTCAAATGCACTAAAGTGTCCACATCATCTAAACTGAATTGGAGGCATCTAATTAAACTTTTTTGAATTATCCCAAAATGTCAATTTAGAAATGATCTTCACATTGAACATACATAAAGTTATGGGCTTGCAAGTGGAACTGCTGCTATTAATAGAACTAGAAAATCTATTCCTGGAGAAAATCTATCTACGTGGTTGCTAACACTTGATCCTGGTTTGATGGGACATAATCAATCAATCAATCAATCAATCAGAAAAGCTATGCTGCAGCCGAGCATGTAGAATGGGTAGGAATGTAGCTGAGGATTTATATTAGACTGAAATCAAGAATGAAGGAGCAAGAACGCTCACAGGCCAACTTGACCAATGTTGAGGCCCAATGATGGATCCAAACCTGCACTTTGAGAACTGTTGCCCTAGATGACTGGGATCCCCCTCAGTTAATGTCAAACCTGCTCCCTTCCCCAACCTTTAGGACAGGGGTACAGGCAAGCTAATGCTTCATAGCTAATGAAGGGATTGTGGCAGTTATAGTCCCAAATATCTAAAAGGTATCAGGCTGCCCACCCTGTATTAAACATCCCAGCAAGGCTGACTGAAGTCCAAATTGTGCTCTCTGTGCAGCTGTACGTTTCAATAATCCTCCCCCTCCCCCGCTTGCCTTCATCTATGACTACCTCTCCCCAAGTATGAATCGAGTCAAAGTCAGGTATTCCCCTACCCCATAGCAGACATTTATGACTTAGACTAATCTAATCCTGCCTTGTATTACAGCACTTATCGCAATCACTTGACTTGATCATGGGCAGCCTTGGAGAAGTCTGTACTTCACTCTCTTCTACATTCCTTATAAATATATGCATGGCTTTTCTTAATTTTTTTTTTAGGAAACTCTCTATTTTACAGAGGGTTGTTGCTGGTCTATATTGCTGTAAGTCAAGTTTGATCAATGCTTAATAGTAAACACATTCTCAGTGTCCACCAGAGCTCTACACAGCCTGCCTTCTTGTCAGGCTACCCACTTCCAGAACTCTGAATACCCTAATCCTGATTTCAGACATCTAGGATCATGTGAATATTTCCCTCCATTGCAACAAGCTTTTCGGGAATATCCATATTCATGAACCTACGTTCAAGCAGAATCAGCAAGAGAAAGCAGTACAAGAGCAAAGTCCTGGAATATAAAGGGAGTTACTACTGACGTGACAACAGCCTAACTGCTGATTTTATCAGCAACCCTCCTTTGATTGCTTCAGTTTTTAAAACTCAGTTTAATGGCTTCAGTGCATTTCTGCATTTATTTTGTGAGCTATATCAAAAAAATAAAAGAGCATTTAGACTTCCTATTTATCACTATGTATATGAAATTCTGTTTCTACCAATGTCCCTGGGAGGTCTCATCTAAGTTTCTGATCAAAGTTTCATCTAGCCTTCCAGATCCAAAAGTACAGCAATTCCCATGCCATCCAGGGCACATCTGCTTGTCTAATAGGACTTCTACTGAGAAGACCTTGAAAAGTTCATACAACAAAAGATTGAGGCCCAGTGTCTCTCTCTCAGAAGTTCACTGGTAACAGGGGAAGCCACAAAATGCACTGGTACAAATCTATAAATAGATGTATATCCACTCGAGAACCTTGGGGGAGCAACATTTTAGATTTTCAAGACAGAGAAATGCTTTTCAATCAAAATCATTTTGATAGAATTCTAAAGTAAAGGAATTGTTTTATCATCAGCTTATTTCTTATATATTTGGAAACTGTAGGGCCATCCCTGTTATTTATGTTAATCCATGTTAGGCATCAGTTAAATTTTTTTTTTTTGAGGCTTTAATAGTTGAATGAGCATGTTGGTCTCTAAAGTATGATCTCCTAAAGATCTATGGTATGGTCCACCCTTAGGAGAGACTAAGTTAGTGGATATACCTAATAGGGCCTTTTTGGTTACAGCACCCATTTGTGGAACCTTCTCCCTAAAGTCAACTTAGCTTCAAGTTTCAGCAGGCTGACCAAACCATCTTATTCCTCAAGATCATATAGAAGGGTCATGACAGGCAACACATGACTACAGATGTTGGAATTAAATCTACCTCTCAGGTCAGTGGAACATTTAATTTCTCCATAAAGCAATCTAAAAGGCATAAAAGTAGCAGAGAAGATCTGAGCTTGCTAAATTATCTCAGTAAATGAAAGTGAAAAGAAAACTTGGATAGTTTTATGTTTTAAAAATCGGGAAGAAAATAAGATCCAGTCATAGGAAACAACAAGGATTCCAGCCTCTGGTTCAGATAGTTGGTTTTTTTCTTCCCCTTTGCTTTTTAAAGTTTTCTATGCTCTGCAGGGCTCAAGATGGGGCCAGCTTCACTGAGACAATTAAAAATTCACCAGATGTTTAATGCCAGGTTTTGATAGCTCAATCAGCAGTAAGTACTTGACTTGATTTATTCTGTTATATTTATATCCCTTCCAGAGTATAGGATGTATACAAGAAGGTGCTAATTATTTTTTTAAGCTTTTAAAAAAGCTTAATGAATTCCTCCTTTGATTTAGTAAAGAAGCAAGGGAGGAGAGGAAAGAAATTAGCATACATGAGATTAAGGTGGCAGTTCCATTTATCACACAAAAATGCCTTTACTTTTGGGGGAATGTGATGAAATAATGAATAAGGTGACCTGACCCCAGTTGTACAGTAAACCACAAGATGGTGATTTAAGCGGAAGGCAATACCCCTGTTCTTCTCGTACATAGTATGCACTGGGAAAGAAAGCCTTTCATAACACCACCACCCCATACTTGGAACATTACTCCCAGGAGTAGCTTTAACACATCTAGAAGGAAGCAGATTGGAGATGGCTGCCCGAAGAGGATTTCAGATTTGATGTACTATTAACCTTTTAAAAAGTTTTATAGGGGGGAGGTGGAGTTCTTACAAAGGGTATATCCAGTGCCAGGCACCGCTTAATCTCTTAATTCAGGTACAGGGGAAAACAGATGCGATCAAGTAGGGACGCCCAAATTCTTAGAACGTTCTTTCCGCTTCGCTGATCTAACACTAGGAGACACTGACAACGCCCCCACCCCGAGCCTTAAAGGAACACCCTGAACTGGGTCTGGGCCGCCGGATCACAGGAATGCCCGATTCCCTTCCCACGGGGTGTCTCAGAAGTCCGGGAATGCAGTAGATACCAGGGATTGGCAGGAGTCACACGGCAGGACCTCTCTTAATTTTTTACCCGAAGTATGCTCTCAGCTTCTCTGCAAACCGAGACAAGAGCAGCGCTACGCAGTCGGGTGGCTGCCAGCAGGGCTGACGTTCGTCTCCCACCCGGCGGAAGCCACCCAGCTTTCAAAAAAAGATGACCCAGACCTGGGTGGCGACGGGAAGAACCGGCACAACAGAACTGTTGCCTTCACTTGGGTTTCTCTCCCTCCGCGTCCTTCTCCCTCTCTAGTCAACATGGTTACTTGCTTTCTAAAGCGGAATGCGATTAGTCGATAACGACAAGAGAAATAACCTACAGCAAGGGGATTTACGGGCAGGGGCAAGAATATAGAAGGGACTGACGCTTGCTTTTGCTATTTATCAACAACCAGCGAAAACTTTTCGTTATCTCCTACTTTTAGGTGCATCTACCTGCCATGTCAGATCTGCTTGGAAACATACAATAAAGTTTGTTAACAAGGTTTCTGGTTCTTTCCGCAAGCAATCCTCGCCTCACACACATAACTGTGGATTAGCGTCGTCGTCCTTTACTCCACCTCCAGCAGAGATTCTGTGCTTTTATGAGCACCGTGATTGGCAGAAATTCAGCGGTGTGTACAGTAGTTCCGCCGGCCACGGCAGCGCTACGTTCAGAAATTGAACAGGTGAAGCCTCTTGCCGACTCTGACGGGAAGTACTCGCCCGCTGAATTTCTGCTTTCCGCGTTTTTAGAACAACCCATGACCTCTCGGCCTCCCGCATTCGTAGCCTCCCGCGCCCCCCCTTCCCTCCCTCCCAGGCGAGGGAGACCTAGATTGTTACCCGCTGGGCAGCGTGATTGTTTCCCTCTCCATCCGCTTTCATTTCGTTCTCCTGCTCCTGCAGGGCAGCCTCCTGGCCGCCGCCTTTCGCCTCCGATTCCTCAGGCAGCCCGTGAATGAATTCTTCGCGGCACTCGAGGCCCAGCTGCTGCAGACGTTCGTCGGTCTCCGAGTCTACTACCAGCAAGCGCACCGAGCCCGGCGAGCCTCGGATGCGGTTCACGACTTGCTGGTGACTCTCCTTCTCTACGTTCTCCCCGTTCACTTCTATCAAGCGGTCCCCAGCCTTCAGACCGGATTTTTCGGCCGGGGAATCGGGCTCCACCAGCCGGATGAACTGGCCCGTTTTGCCTTTCTCTCCGTGTAGATGGAAGCCGTAGCCGTTCGGCCCCTTTTCTGGGCAGCACAGCCTAGGCAAGAGCCGCTGTTCGCTCCCTCCCCCGTTGTCCATGTTTCTCCTTCGACTGATCAAACGTCCCAGGAACCTCAACGGGAATCAAAGAGTTCCGAGTTACTTGAAGGATGCAAAGTCTCTGGCGAGCAACTTCAAGGGACTGGCCTGAAGCACTCCGGCTGTCCCGCTTCGGAGCAGTAGCAGGTGTCTCCAAGGGCGGGTCCGGAACGATTTGAGAGCAACAGGATCCCGATTACGAATATATCAAGAAGCTTCCGCTCCGCCAATCACAACTTTAGTCGGTGTCTGAGCGTTCCAGAATGTCATTGACATTTTATCAGAGGGGCGGGCACGATCTACGAATGGTATCGTTGGACCAATGAGATTCGGGAGAAAGGAGTTGCAACGCACTAAGCACGCCCCTCAAAGGCAAAGACAAATCGGGAACGGGAACGGAAATATGCAAATAAAAAGCCCCGCCCCTTACTGCTCATTGTATTTCTTTATTGGTTGTCCAGGTGGTACAAAAAAGTTTCACTTTCTTCCAGGAAGCGGGTCGTTACGTAGTGTGACGATGCTATCCTACAAGGTAAATATAAATTTTCTTTAACGAAAAATAGTTCTTTTTGTGAGAAAACATAATTCACGATCGTCTTCAATGACAATTAAACCTAAGTAAACTAATTAAATAAAATACACTTAAACTTAATTAAGGGTGGAAGTGTCTCTTTCCAAATTAAGCTTTGGGCTGCCTCACAATATATACCAACTTATCTGGGAAACAGAAAAGAATAAGGAACGGTATCATGGAAACAACTTTGGGCCAGCCCACATCGGACCTCCACGGGTGAAACGTCTGTTGCAAACTACCTATACAAGCCCACCATGGGGAATCAAGCTTGTCTCATCCTCAGTAGATACAAATGAGTATCTGCATGCCACAAACATCTTCCAACACCTCTAATTATATTCCCGTATATCCAGGAGATAGAGACTTATGAGGCAAAATGGCTCATATTCAGCCCAAAACTAATAAGACAATTTTTAGCTATTGTTTCTACTACTGTAGATGGAAAGACAGTCTGAGTCCTTGTGGATCACAAATGTAACATATCTCTATAGGATACCTCAGAAGCCTTGTCTGAGAAACTCTTGTTTCCTTCCTTCCTTCCTTCCTTCCTTCCTTCCTTCCTTCCTTCCTTCCTTCCTTCCTTCCTTCCTTCCTTCCTTCCAGTGTACTTTTCATGCATTTCATTGGTGTTCTGTGTATGTTTTGTGTGTGCCTCTGAGTCAGTATTGACTCCTGGCAACTGCCTGGACAAGTCCCTGCAGTTATTCTGGCAAGATTTTCAGAAGTGGTTTGCCACTGCCTCCCTCCTAGGGCTGAGAGAGAGAGTGACTAGCCTAAGGCCACCCAGTTGGCTTTGTGCCTAAGGTGCAACTAGAACTCATGGTCTCCTGGTTTCTAGCCTGATGCCTTCACCACTACACCAAACTGGCTTTCCTCCATATTTTAGTATATAATAAATACAGGTAGTCCTTGGCTTACATCCATTCATTCAGTGACTGTTCAAAGTTACGGCAGTGCTGAAAAAATGGACATGACCAGTCCTCCAAGTTCTGGCCATTGTAGCACCCACACAGTCATGTGATCACAATCCAGCTGCTTGGGTGCCTAGCTCGTGATTACAATGTTGCAGGGAGCCATGGTCACATGATTGCCATTTGCAACCTTCTCTGCCAGCTTCCCACAAGCAAAGTCAGTGGGGAAGCTGGAAGGGAAAGTCACAAGTCACCCTGGTAAGTGTTGGGAGCATCCCCCCATCCCCTCCACACTCCTTACCCTGGACTCCCACCTCTTCCTGCTTAACGACCCATGCACCTTGGGGCTACAATGGCAACTGGAACTGCCAGGATTCTTGCTAAGTGATGCGGTCACGTGATGTGCTTTATGACCACACTGCTTAGCGACAGCAATCCCAGTTCCAATTGCCATTGTAACTCAAGGACTGCCTGTATAGAATATCTGTCAAGGTGTTGGAGTAAGTGGAGAAACTCAGATTTAAGTGCAGTCTCAACCATGGAAGTTCACTGGGGTCCTCTGGACCAGGCAGTCTCTCTCAGCCCAAATTACCTCACAAGGTGTTTGTGAGGAAAAATTGGAGGAGGGAGCCCCATGTATACCACCTGGAGCTCTTGGAGGGAAGGTGGGATGTAATAAATAATGAATATTCTCATCCACACTCTTGAGCAAATCATTATAGGATGCTTATCTGCCTCATGCTTGTCCTGCCCGTCTCAGCCTCTCCTCCCTCTCCCCCAATTGGTAGCACTTGTGTGTCCAAACGTTTTATTTTATGATCCATTCCAATCCTATTGACACATGGCAATAACTCAGGGATCAAGAATGGATTGTCCCATTATGGGGAACCTGGAACTTTGTAGTTCCCTGCAGGTGAACTCTAGCCTGCCTCTCCTGTTAGAAAATTATCTGGTTGCTGCGATGGACATGGAGATGCTCCTCTTTCTGGCATGCTGGGAGAAGGCCGTCTCCTGTCATCTTCCCAGGCTGCAGAATGCACTACCTCAAGGGTTGTGTTTGGTCCCCACTCTTTAGGAAATCTGTAAAGCCACAACTCCTTAGTTAGTTTTAATCTACCTGTTTAACTTTTTATTGTTTTGTTTTACATTTTGTTAGCTGTCTTGACACTCATCAGAGCAGAAAGAGAGGACACAGATCTGACAAACAAGTATGTTCATGGGAATTTCTTAAAGATTTATATTGTGACTTCTTAATCTCAGTCTAAGGATTTCCTGCAACAAGGGTTTTTCTTGTAGTTGAGTCTTACTCTGAGGACAGTTCGGTGCCAGCTAAGTCATCCAATGACCCTCACTGCTTCAAGTCACGGGATATTATATTGGGGCAATATTAGCAGGAGGTGAGCTAGTGATTATCTAGTTTCCCAAGAAACAACAAAAATTACATACAAAGATACAAGCTGGAGATAACAATCTTTTCTGTGGAGCATCCAAAAATAGGAAGCTTATAGCAACAACTTGGGCAGAAACTGCATTAAGAGTTTACTGATTGAATAATTAGATAATTTGCAGTAGATTGTCTCTCTTTTCATTTCTGACCTCTGCCCCCCTTTTTTTTGGTAAATCAGAGCAATAAAAAGAAAAAGGCTGTGCTTTCAATGTAGTCTTGAAACATCTGGACTAGGGACCATGCACCAACGAGGCCTTCCTCTGTACTAGCAGGAATTCGTTTAAAGTAAATTGAAGTAAATAAATCAGTGTGAGTTCTTCCTGTGCTCTCCAGGGGAACATCCTGTCCTCTGGTCCCTTCACAGGCTTGACACTCCCTGTTCCCCCAGAACCAAATAGCACTCTAAAGGAAAGCTGATTTGGTAATGGCTGTGAGCATAGGACTACCGTATCTGGCCTGTGACAATCAGAGTGATCTCTAGATGACTGTAAAGAGTTTGAGGCTTGTTGTCTCTTTGCTTCCATCTAGTGGGCATCTGGAATTTTGCAGCCCAGATATAGCAGCCGTAGATAAGAACCCTCCATCTTTTGGCCTTCGGGTCTTGGATAGGGGAAGAAGATGAAGTAACAAAACTTTACTACAGGGTTTCTCACCCTTGGCACCTTTAAGACGTGTGGACTTCAACTCCCAGAATTCCCCAGCCAGTTCTGGGAGTTGAAG